TTTTTAAAAATTAACGTATGAGAATCCACCACCATGATGCACTTGCCCTATAAAGTTAAACATGCTGCCACATCTCTCAGAACCAAGCTCAGCACTGAAGATGCAAGTATTGACTTCTACCTTATGTTTAAACCCCTATCAAAGCACCTTTGTCTGTCTTCATAGGCTCTTATTTCCCTCACTGCTTTACGATCTGTATGATAAATCATATTGCACAAGATCTATTAATAACTCTTTCTTTCTTCTTTTCCTGTAAGGGTAACTAAAGGTAAAGAAAATGTATCTGGAAATGAAGTACCTCTCCTTTGAACAGCAGCCAAACTCATTTTGAAGGTGGATGCAGCCAGTGGCTAAAAATTATGCCATCCCTTAGAGTCACCTTGTACACATTGTCAAGATCTAAATGGAAAGGAGAACTGGATCTCCCATTTGGCACATAAAGAGACATTCAAATGGGGCAAAATGGCTTCCTAACTGCTTAGGCCTTCTTCACAAGCCTTTTAATCACCCTGTATTAGAGCACTCTGAGCAGGTGTTCATAGCATGGCATACATGAAATAGCATGTAATATAATATATAAAACAGAATGCTAACAGCCTTTGCTGTGGTAGGCCTGTCAGCAGTGCTGCCAGCAGCAGAGAAGCGTCATCATTTGCAATGGTGGAAAATATTTATTGTCAGTAACTGCAGAATCTTTCTGCTAAATAAGACTTGAATTCTAATGTAAACAATGAGAGAGGCTTTGGGGTGGGCAGCAGGCTGTTTTTATATGAAAACTGTTAAGACTTTTTTCATTAATTCTATATATTGGATAGAACCTAGGTCAGATGCGCATTTTTCAGTCATCTTGATGATTTAGGAGGCTTTAGCATAAGATTACAAAGAGTTTTGGGACACCTCCCAAAGTCATATAGAAAGAAATCATTTGCTTATATATTGCATAGCTGCAGATTGGAAAATCTCTGAATAACATTTAATAGGTGTTTGATACTGTTCATATTCATGCTAATATTATTAATAAACTGAAAAGTTATGGATGTAGCCCAGTGACTCTTTTCTGTCTCTAACAAATTTCCCTTTTTTTCTAATTTTGTGCTTGCATGCTATCTTAGTATCAATGGCTGAAAATTAAATCAATATTGGTACTATATCAACTTATACACCAACTCTAACATTTAAGGAGTGCAATGACCTTAATTGTTGGCTGCAGAAGTAATCTTTCTGCAATACTGACACCTAGTGGTTGACTGTTAGAAATTTAGATATAACTTTATTTTTCTCAATATCAATCAGACATTTAAAAAGGGTTTTCATGCCAAGATATCTGAGGACCCTCTTAGCATGTTGCATTTCTTCACTTCATGTTACTCAGCTGTGGTGTATAGGAGTCACTGCTTATAGACAATGTACATTTTTAATTAGCTAGAGGCTTGGTTACAGCCCTTTCAGTTTTTAACCAGTTCTTGCCTCATTTCATGCCACCTGCTGACTTCTCTTGAATCAGACCAATTCTGTCTCATTCTGTGCTTTACTGAATGGGGTGTCACACCTCCCCAACATGTGTTTTTCTTCTACAGGGACACAGTTAATGGTGTCCCTGTAATGCTGTTCTTCCTAAAGAACTATATGCTTTCACTGCCTGTGTTCAGCATTTTCATTAGGATCAGAATGCAGGTAATTTCTTAGTAGTGTAAGAATGATTTTATAGTTGTGATAGTCCAGAAATTCACACTAGGATTTTTTAGGGTGATATTTTTATTGGACCAACTACATGGGAATCCTAAGAAATTGTTGCTTCCCTTGTAGTTTTCTTAAATAGGCCATGTTGCTTAGCCTAAGCAAATCAGGCCATCTTATTTTGCACTTTTTTTTGTTCCAAAGCCTAGGCTTTCATCTACTAAAATCTGACATTTTATCACTATGTCCCTACTGCCTGAAATTATTTCCCTTAAATCCTCAAGGAAAATACCTGTCATATACTGTGATTCTGTTGAAAAAGATATCTTTGTTGCCTGTACAAAACTGTGTATGCCTTAAAAGCAACTAATTCTTTGTGTTTCTGCAGTTTTGTAAAGAAACCAAATGTATTTCTTTCACTTAGCCCTTAGGTGTCCTCAGGTGTGGCGTTTTGGAGTATGGGAAATTATTCATCCCAGAGCCATGTTACATGCATAAATCTTATTATTGTAATTTATGGCATCCTAATAATTTCATAGTGTCATTCATAAATCTCCCCCCATGTCATAATTTTTATTTATATCTCATTGAATGCTATGTTGCTATAGATTTAGGATAAAGTGGGCATTGGACTTACATCTATAGGAAACTGTTTTTCTTACCTCTTATTAAGAGTGCCAGCTAGATTGCAATGGAGAATAAACAAGTTAACAGCAGAGGAAGCCTCACCTAACCACCCTAATATGCTGTCAGTCTACTGTGGAATCACATCCTTAGTTATCCAAACCTCAGCTAACCAGACTCAATTATCTAAATGACAACTTTAACCTGTTATTATAACAACAAGCTGTTCTCTTTAGTTTTACTGTATTTAATGTCACTACTGCTAAATGTTATAAGGTCTTTGCATTATGCATCATGTTTAATCATATGTAATTCTTCACAAGATGCTGCTGTTTCAATTATCTGAATGGCTTTTTGACAGGTACTTTCCAAAGGGATTCAGATAAGTGAGGGAAGTGCTGTACCACTTCTACAAAGAAGAGCATAGTTCAGTCCCCTTGTGTTATGCAGTCCTTGGACTCTGTTGACTAACAAGAATGACAATTAAGATGGTGGGTTTTTGTATTTTAAACACTTAATCTGGAGACCTGGGCTGGTGCCACTAAACTCAGTTCACATGCAGGACTCTGAAGTTTTGGTCACCCCTGACTGTTCCAGATTTTAACACATGGTGGAAAGGTGGTAGTTATTTTGCAGTTTAAAAATAAAACCACCAGGTGATAGTTATCTTGCCATTAAATCTGTAAGTAGGAACAAAAGAACTTGTAGTATTAGTTAGGCATGGTCAGCCCTGCTCCTGACCCACTCACAGCTGACCTTCTCTCTTTTTTTTCATATCTTATTTCCACTTTATCTTTCCAGGGAATAGTTAACCTGTGCTAGCTATCCGGTCCGGTTCTAGCTTGCATTGCCATAGATGCAAGGAGGAAAAAAAATGCAACCACATGGTACAACCCCTTAAACCGAGGTAAATTTGCCTTGGCCTACAAGATAATTTTTGTAGGGCAAGATGCTTTCTTTCTAGGACAGCTGTTCATTTGTGCATTGTTGCTCTGGGGCAGTTACCTCCAGGATTTTTCTCTGAGCATCTCTCTCTGGAGATAACTGTTAGTGTAGCCAGGACTACAAGGCACTTGATTTCTCCTGGTGGGACCAAAGTAACCAGGCAAGGTCAGCCAGGGGCAGTGTGAACAGTAGATTGACCCTGTCCACCTGACTGACTTCTGTTCACCTGCTAATTCACAAGATAATAGTTATTCCTCTGTAAAATCCTAACATTTTGTGCCACTGAAAACAAAGCTTGAACAGGTCTCTTCCCTTTTGACTGATCTTATTCTTTTACTTCATTAAGTTTATTTCAAGTGTCCCTTCTTTGGTTGGTAACTACATGTGATAACTTCTTTTGCTTTACAAGTTTAGTGACCATTTACACTAACATAATGGGATTGAAGGAAAGTAATAGTATTTATCTAGACTAGCTACCTGGCTGAGGCTGGGTTTGTTTCTTTCTCAGACTCATGGAAGGCTTTTGTTGTGCCTGAAAGCTTGTCTAAAGAGCACAGGGCAGCAAAATTGATCAGGGGCCTGGGAGAGAAGACTTATGAGGAAAGGCTGAAAGAATTAGGGTCTTTTCTCAAAAAGAGAAAGCTGAGGGGGACTTGATAGCAGCCTTCAGATACCTGAAGGGTGATTATAGAGAGGATGAAGATGGGACTTTTTCTCTGTGGCTGTAGGGGACAGGACTAGGAGCAACAGTTGCAAGCTGCAGCAAGGGAAATTGAGGCTGGAGATTTATCTTTTTAGTTTTCCATATTCCAAGCCAAAATAGCCTAAACAAATTCCAAACTGTAAGTCATTCCAGAACCATAAGTGGCCCTACTACTGGCAAACATCCTCCAACCCCATCTGGGCCTTCAGATGTTTCCAAAATTTTGACGGACATCCTACTTGCAGGCCCAAGCCCAGACGCTTGGGGTTCAGATGCCCCAGAGTTTCACCTGCTGTCAGCCATATGGCCGCAGGAGCAAGCTCGGGAGGAGTCCCCCCTTTCCATAAAGTGGGCATAAAGCCAAGACCTTCCCACTCCAGCAGCTAAGTGGGAGGTTTACTATACATTACCTTGGCAGGTACTATCCCCCTGCCAGGAGAGCGGTCTTCCCCAGGTGCCACTAGGAGGACTGCCTCAGTGGTCACGGTGTTTCCCTTGCCAGACAAGCATAGGACTAGGCTTGGTCTGATTATGAGGAAAGTTTGGAGGCGGAGGGTGCTCAGGCACAGGCTGGCTGGGGAACTCTGGAGTTTCCATCCATCCTTGGAAACTTTCAAAAGCAGGTTAGACAAACACTGGGCAGGGCTGGCTCTGTCCGGGATGATTCTGCCTTGAGCAAGGGCTGATGACCTTGACGAGGTCCGCTTCCAGCCCTACTTTCCTATGACCCTAACAGCTCTCCCAGCAAGCCTCGGTCTGGAAAGGGAGCGCGCTCGTGGCCTCTCCTTCCCTGCGCGCTCCCGGGACCGTCACAGCCGCGTGAATGTCTCCGGCGGATCTCCCTCAGCTGCTCCTCGGCCGCCGGTCCCCGGCTCTGCCTGGGGCGCGCGGGGCCCGTGGCTATGGGTCAGGGCTGACCCAGCGGGGTGCCGAAGGCGGGCGTTTCCCAGGGGCGCAGCTTTTCTCGGGGCGGCG